TGGCTATTATGAATGATGCTGCTAGCAATATTCATGTACAAGTTTTTTTATAAGCATACATTTTCATTTCTCTTGGATATAAACCTAGGAGTGGAATTTCTGGGTCAAATGGTAACTCTATGTTTAATCTTTTGATGAACTGCCAGACTGTTTTCCAAAGTGGCTGCATCATTCATTCCCATCAGCAGTGTATGAGAGTTCCAGTATCTCCATATCCTCCACAACACTTGTTATTGTCTGTCTTTTTGGTAACAGCCATCTTAGGGCATGTGAAATGGTATCCAAATACATTTTTAAGATGCAAAAACATGAAAACATATTGGACAAGAAAGTAAAATCTTTTATAGCAAGGGAAAAGTAGGAAGAGAATTAGGAAAGTTCCCAAAGTCAGGCTGGAAAAGGAAGCAGGAAATGTTTTTAGCTCTGTTACTCCATTTCTTGTCATTATGCAACCAACTGCCCTTACAAAAGTATCTGGATTCTGGAGCCAGCCCACAATCTCAGATCTTGAGTTTATAACAATCATGTTGTTCTTGTTGTTAGGTGCTGTAGAGTCAATTTCGACTCATAGAGACCCCATGTGACAGAGCAGAACAGCCCCACAAGGTTTTCTAGGCAGTAATCCTTATGAGAGCTGATCAGGCCTTTCTCCTGTGGAGCCGCTGGATGGGTTCAAACTACCAACCTTTTGGTTAGCAGCCAAGTGCTTAACCAATGAGCCATCGGGGTCCTTCTAACATTCATAATAACAACTAATCTTATTGATTTATTTTACGGAATGTCTTCCCTTTCTTCACTCCATTTGATTCAATACCACAGATCTTATGTGTTGTTGTTGTTAGGTACTGTCAGGTAGGTTCTGACTCATAGTGACCCTACGCACAACAAAATGAAACACTGCCCAGTCCTATGCCATCCTCACAATTGTTTTGTTGATATGTTTAGGCCCGTTGTTGCAGCCACTGTATCAATCCATCTTATTGAGGGTCTTGATCTCTTTCACTGACCCTCTACTTTACCAAGCATGATGTCTTCCTCCAGGGACTTGTCCCTCCTGATAACATGTCCAAAGTACATAAGACAAACTCTTGCCATGCTCCCTTCTAAGGAGCATTCTAGCTATACTTCTTCCAAGACAGATTTGTTCATTCTTCTGTCAGTCCATGGTATATTCAATATTCTTTACCAACACCATAATTCAAAGGCAACAACTCTTCTTCGGCCTTCCTTATTCATTTTCCAGTTTTCATATGCATATGAGGTGACTGAAAATATCATGGCTTGGGTCAGGTGCACCTTAGCTCTTAAGATGACATCTTTGCTTTTTAACACTTTAAGGAGGTCTTTTGCAGCAGATTTGCCCAACGCAATGCATC